ATGGCATGTGATCTGGTGGTAGATACATGCAATCAGGTTGGTTTAGCAACTCTGTGACGCTAACCAATACCCTGCTCTTCTCTCCCCTCTGTCTTCTACTGGATGGAATTCTAGCTGGGATTCTTAGCCCCGTGGGCAGCTGATGAGCCGTGTGTTCTTGCCAATGGAATGCAAGTAGAAGCATGTGCCATTTCTGGGCCTACCCCCTAAAACATTTTAGGTGGGCTCCTTTATGCTGTTTTCTCCTCTTCTTTCTGGAATGGCAGTGGCCAGAATAGCCTTGGAAGGGATACAGTGAAGACAGCTCTTACCATGAATTCTTTCAAGAAGATGTGAAAAAGAGCCATCCCACCTTCAACCCAAAACTCCCAACCTGGACTGTTACATGAAACACAAGTAATCATCTGAGTATTTGTGTTGCTTGAGCACTTAGCCACTTACCAAAAGTAAACGCATCAGATATAGTCTCTTTTTATCTTTGTATGACCCCTGTGAGACAAGTATCATTACATCCATTACACAGATGAAGAAGCTAGGATCCAGCAAGGCTCAGTAACTTGCCCAGAGTTACACAGCTGGAAGGTGAGAGAAGGGATGGAAAGCTAGGGTTTTTTTATTTCACGTCTCAGGCTCTTAACCACATACCATATATTCTCTCACAAATATTTCAAAGTAAAAACACCATAGTTGTAAAAAATGAAGAGTTGATACAGAGAAGGCTGTAGTGAAAGCAGCTTACATCTGTGTCTTGAAGACTGAATGTTTAATTCTGCATTCAGTAGCTTGTTGCTCCATAATTTTCAGCTGCATCTTTTTGGCTCAGCAATCAGGTCTCCATGCCTCCTTCTCTCTCACATCTGCTGTGTATGCCCATATGTCTGATCTATATGCTGCTGCGAGGCGGGTCCTCCTAAAAAACTATCTTCTCATGCACTTCCTCCTTGGACAGCTTCAGAACCTACCAGTTGAAGTTCACAGTCCTTACCGTGGCACTGAAATCCCTCCTTATCTTGCCCTAGCCTTACCTTCTGGTCTTTTCCGACACCATCTCTGTTTCAGCCAAATGTGTTTATTTCAACTTTACTGAGCCATCAACTTTCAGGGTAAGCAAGAGCTTTGAGGTCAAGTAATTCAAGCCATCTGTATCAGTTATCTGCTGCTATGTAACAAACTACCCCAAAACTTAGTGCCTTGCATTTCTAACACTTCTCAGGGTGACAGGGCAGTTCTTTTGTTGGTCTCACTTGTGGTCACACCTATGGCTCCATGTGGCTGCAGCTGGGCTGGATGGGAAGTTCATGAAGGCCTCTCTCACACAAGGGGATCTTTGTGCTATCAGCTGGTGAGTCCCAGTGTTCTTCCACATGGTCTCTTGCTCCACAAGGCATCTCGCTTCATGAGGCATCTCACTTCCAGGACTTCTGTACATGGCCTCTTGCTCCATGAGGCTTCTAACCCTCCAGGGCTTCTCCATGTGGCCTGTCGCTTCACAAGGTGACTCATCCTCCAGGCCTTCTGTGTGTGGCCTATTGCTCATGAGGCATGCCACCTCCAGGCCTTCTCCACATGGCCTCTTGCTCTGTGAGCTGTCTCATCCTCCAGGGCTTCTCCGCATGGCCTCTCTCTCCAGCAGGACAACCTAAACTTTCCTACACTGGTTTCTAAAGGGAAAAAGCAGAAACTATTGTATTTCTGAAAGCTTAGGCCTCTAACATACACAATGTCACTTCTGCTACATTCTATTGGTCAAAGCAAGTCACAGACCCAGCCCATATGGACTCCATCTTTGGGAGCGAGGAGTGGCTACTAGAAGCTGTGGCAATCTTCTCCCTCTCCCTTTACATGCCTCTGCCTGAGTCTTCTGACATCTTTACCTACTGTTCTTTCTCAGCATATTATAGAGTTTAAGGAGTGGACTTCAGGGCTATGCTTATCTAGGTTTGAATGTCAACTCTACTACTTACCTACTCTTTGAGCTTGAGCAAGTTACCAAACTTCACTGTGCTTCCATTTGTTCAACCATAAATTACAGGGAAATATACATCCTACCTTACAGAGTAGTTGTGAGAATTAAATAAGCTAATACAAAGAGCTGGAACAGTGCCTGGCTTTAGTAAGTGCTTCATAAATGTTAATTAGTAGTAGTATTAAGTGGATTTAGCTCTTAGTTTGGTGCAAAACGCCAAGAAGTCAGGAGAGGCCTAGGGTTTAGGCTGCAGGGCAGAGGAGATGAGGAGAAGTAATATATATAATCCCTAAGGAATCATCATTGCACCAAAATGCCTTGACTTAATTGATTAACAAGGGATATTTCAGGGGAGGTGTCTAAGTGCTTCTTTACCTTCTGAAGGGCTCCTCCGATCACAGAACCCCTGTTTCTGTAAGGTGGGAACCCACATCCCATGACCTGTAAGATAATCTCATGGTCATCTGAGGGTCCATTTACCTGACTTAGTCATGATGCTGCAATCCTCATCTTATCAAGCCTTGGACTCCCAACACTGAAATACCCTTTTTACAAGGGCATTTTTCAGATCCAAAGGAGAAGTCTAAGGCAGAATCTTGTCTGCTGGATTCTGCATACTGGCAATTCCAATCTTGGCACACAACACTCTGCTCTGAGGAGCGATGATTTACAGCAGCAGAGTCTGGGCAGGAGACCCAGCAGCTCCTGCTACGTGTGACAGAGCACAGATCCCCAAGCACACAGACCATGTGGTGAAGGCGAGTGGGGATGAGCTAAGGGAATGAATTGTGAGCTGAGGGCAGACCTCTGTGGGTATTGCTAGTCTCTCTTTCTGATCATTAGTCATATTCTGTGGCATGTGAGTCTTATTTTTCCAGTTCCATTTGTCTTGCTCCATGAACAGATTAATGATTGCTCTTACTAAGAGACAGAAAGAAAAGCATGATTTAAAGTCACTCAAAGGCTGAGAGTAATCATACAAATGCATTAGATCAGATGATGCTTTGGGGCAAGATTGCTATTAGTCTACCATAATTCATCTGAAAGTTCTGTAATAAGCCTTCCTGCCATTATTTATTATTTGTTTTGCAGCACAAAATATGCAAAATATAGAGAAATGAACGTGGTGTGTAGAACTTATGCCTAAAATTCTGAAATAAATTTGTGTCCTTACTGTCTTCAATTTATGTAATAGTTTTGGAGTACCAAGTATGTGTATAGCACTGTGCTAGGTACTGGCAGCAAGAGGGAATATGGGAAAGGGAATCAGGTGTTTATTGAACCCATACTCTGATCAAGGCAGCCTGACAATATCAGATTCCTGGCGGGTCCTGGAAGTCATAGTCTCTGTCCTCAATAGCTTATGATAGGGGTAAAGAGATGGCAGGCACACAGACACGAATAGGTATAAATAAAAGTTGAAGACAACATACTAACATCAAATACTTTGAGGCTAAGTGAGAGTATGGATTGTTAAGTGTGAGCTCCTGTGGTCATGGACATCTTTCTTCAGCAGCAGTGCCCTGGACAGCTACAGTCCAGAGGGCTGTCTTTGGAGAAAGCTTCCATGGAGCTCACACTTACAATCTCAGCATGGGCTTGGAGTCCAGGATAAGGTTCTGGGTGCACCATACACCAGCTCGGAGAATATGTCATGCTACTTGACTCCTCTGTGCTTTGGTTTCTTCATCTGTAACTTGCACATGAGTTACATCCAACTTAGAGGGTGGCAATGAAAATTAAATGAAGATGCAATGCTCAGACTAATCACATCATCAGTACCATCTAAGCTCCAGATCTCACTTTTTATTGTTTTGGTGAATGGAGAGAAAGGGGGAGGAACAACATCAAAGGGCTACAGTAGAGGCTGACCTAAGCCATCGTTACAGGACAAGAGCATCTTCTGCAATTGGTCTGGAGTCATCGCAGCCTCTCCCACTCTCTAGCCAGAGTGCATGGGAGACAGAGAGACATGGAGGAGGATGGGATTTGCTGCAGCCAATCTCTTGTATTTCCTTTGACATTCTCCCAGAGGATCCAGTAGGGTTTCAGTTGCTTTTCCATCATTCTTGCCCTCTAACTGCTCTTTATGTAAATATGGCATGGGCAGAGACTGGCAAGGGGGCGTGTCTGGTTATTTCTTCCTAATCATAAGTGATCCCAGCCACTCCGAACCTTCAGGCCACTTTGTTTGAACTCCCTTTTAAAATATATACATATCCTTGATGTACTTTGTACCATAATGTATTTCCTTTTGCAGATGTCATGTGTCCCTGATAAATCCCATTAGGATAAAAGGTGGACCTTAACTTGCTTTAAAATCTTGCTTTGTATAGAGTAGTTTGTGATTATTATTGTCAAAATAAAGAATAGAGTATTTTCTAGGATCAGAGACGAACGTATTACATGAAAAAAAAAGTTCCAACATAAATACTGGAAATCTTAATAATTTTATAATCTCAATCTTGAGTGGGATTTTAATTCATTCTAGAAACCGGATGGGAAACTTCAATCGGAAGGGAAGATTTAACTGCTTGCTTTTATTTCAGATACTGGCATTGGTAGGGCTGAGAAGCCTCTGCCAGCCTTGGGCCAGGAGTGGCAGCCGCACTCTGGTTCCCTGCTGAGGTATAGCATTCTATTAAGATGTACCGGAGCAGGGCTGTAATGTAATTGGCTTCCCGTCAGATAGCTGTGACCATCATTTGAAGGCAGGGGGAGATATTTTTAAATGAATTTCACTTTCAGCCTAGGATGCCAAGGAACCTCTTCACTGTACAATATGAAAAAAGCAATGTATTATCTGTATTACAGTTTAGAAAATATCACAGGCAAGCCAGATGTGGTGGCTCACACCTGTAATCCCAGCACTTTGGGAGGCTGTGGCAGGTGGATCACCTGAGGTCGGGAGTTCGAGACCATCATGACCAACATGGAGAAACCCTGTCTCTACTAAAAATACAAAATTAGCTGGGTGTGGTGGCTCATACATTGTAATCCCAGCTACTCGGGAGGCTGAGGCAGGAGAACACAGGAGGTGGAGGTTGTGGTGAGCCAAGATCGCACCATTACACTCCAGCCTAAGCAACAGGAGTGAAGCTTCGGCTCAAAATAAATAAATAAATAAATAAAATAGAAAAGAAAATATCACAGAAAAGGAAGATACACAGATAAATGTTGGATTTGAGTTATCTTTTCCAGTGGTATTATTGCATAAGAAATTCTTATAAGTAAAAATGGAAGTTTGCAAGTATGTTAATATTTAGAGCATTTAATTCACTCCTTCCCATTGCCCCCAGACCAAGGGGCATGAATGACACAGGAAGGCATTTTCATGGCAGACCATTGAAAGAAGGACTTCAGAGAAACAAGAGAGACAAGGTACATTCCATAAACCAGGCAGAGTGTGGCCTTTTGTTAAATACCCTTTTGATGCCAGAGGCTCTAGAACGGGGCTTTCCAACTCTGGCAAGACATTCATTTTATTTTTTTACTTTTTACTGAGATATGACATATATCCAGTAAAGTGCACTAGTCTTAAGTGTAAAGCTTGATTAATTTTTACATCAAAACTTGATGAATATTTACACCTACCTGGAGACACCAACAGATCAAGATATAGAACATTTCTAGCTCCCCAGAAGCCCTCCTCGCAGGTAACCCCTGTTCTAACTTCAGTTGCCATGCGCTAGTTACGCTTGCACTTGAACTCATATGGATAAGATCATACAATCTGTACTCTTGTACATCTGCGTTTTTTGCTGAATATGTATGTGTGATTCATTGGTGCCATATATATAATTAGTTTGTACTTTTATATTATATATACCATACGTAATATATACTGTGTAGTATTTTAATGAATGCATATACAACAGTTTATTCATTTTACTATTGATGGACATGTGGATTATTTCCATTTTTTGGTTATCATGAATAAAACTGCTGTGAATAATCTTGCACATGTCATATCTACTCAATTCTAGGAGTGGAATGGCTGGGCCATAAGGAAGGTATATGTTTAGCTTCAGTAAATACTGCCAAATGTTTCTAAAATGTCTCTATCAATTTTTATTTCTACCAGCTATGTAGAGGAGTTCCAGTTGCTCTCATACAACTTCACCAACAGTTGGTATTATCCAATTTTTAAAATGTTAACCTCCAGAGCTTTGATAAGATACTACTACCTGAAGTCTTATGAAATTTTTCTGGGGCAGGATCTATCTTTGGAAGCTCTGTATCTCTGGTTTCCCAGAGATATGAATGCTAATGTGCAGCCAGGGTTGAGAACTATGCCATAGAAAGATGTCTTAATTTGGCTCGTTATTGGAATCAGCTGGAGAACTTCAAAAACTAGAGGTTCTTTGGTTCTCTTCAGACCTGCCAAATCGGATCCTCTAGGAGAGGTTTTTCCAGAGAATCTGATTTGGCAGGTCTGAAGGTGAGTTGGATGTAACTAGTCCTAAATTTGGCAAACACCAATTTGGCATATATTTGTTTTTTTAAATTAGTGACTTTTTTTTTAATTGAAAAAGATTTACACATACAGTAAAAAGCAAACAAAAAAATAAAAACAGTTCATTTGCATACATGATGGAAACCAGACTCCCAGTGCCTCTCCATAGAGGTAACTGTATTGTTGAGTTTCATGTTTCATCTACATGTACTTCGAAAATGTTTCTGCCTATATAGTATTTCTTATGACCCCTTATATTGCAAGTGATAGAAATTTGTATCCTGGCTTAAATTTTAAAATGAAAACATTAAAAGACTAGTCCAGATTGAGTCTTGACTCCAGGTACAGTTTGATCCAGGAATGAAATCTTGGTCATATCTCTTAGTGCTTCCTTTCCATCAGGCCCATTCCTTTCATGGCAGCAACATGGCTGCCACAGTTCTCAACCTCAGGACTTCACTCAGCAACACCTAGGTTGCTACCACATTCTGAGTAATCCTCACCTTCTCAACAATTATGAGTATTCACTCTGTCTCATTGGGTTGCATTAGGCAACACGCTCATCTATGAACTATTCACTGAGGCCAGAGAAGATGGAAGGTGCTGACTGACTTAAAGCAATGCCTTAGAGCTGAAGACTAGGCCATTTAACCAAACTATGTGACCAAAACATGTGGAAGAATTTCCCAAAGGAAAATCAAATGGACGTTGTCGAGGACATAAATAATGTCCATGTTTACTATGTAACAGTACACTCAGTAGTCAACAAAAACCCGTTTTGGAAAGCAAGTTACAGCCTTCTGGTCAAGAGAGTTTCTCTAGGGACTCTGCGCTAATCCCCACAGGTTGTCAGAATGTTTTATTTTCTTCTTACCCCTTATCTCAATAGTAAAAATGGAGGATATTCTTGAGGACAGAAGCTGGAAGGTATTTTGGAGGCAAGGGAAGGTTGGTTTTGGATGTTCTTGGGGTTAAGTACTGACTCTTTTGTCCAACTCTCAGGCTTCCTTCCCCCAGCCTAGAAATGAATTTGCTGAGTTGTAGTTAGTTCTTGATTCATAGGCACCCACTTTCTGAAGCTGTGGAATTGGGCTTGCTTCCGTAACAGCTGTCCTTTCATACACATACTCTAAAATAACCTGAACGAGGGTTTGCGTGCCTGGCATCTAGAGGGTAGAGGAATAGCCCCCACTACAAAGCATCATCCAGCTCCAAAGGAATAAGCTTAGGAAACATGCCTATGAGCAGTGGAGCAAGGTTCATGGAGCAGCAGCCCATGCTGATGCTTCCAACCACCTGCTCTGCGTCCTTCTCTCTGTTTTAGAATACCTTGTTACACAGGTAAGTTTCCAACTCTTTCATACATACTTATCTATACATAGAAATAGTGTGTACACAGCCTTCCTAATTTGACATTTGCTGTCACATATTATCACACCAAATGTTGTATTCAAATTACAATGCTGCCCAGAAGTGCAGACATTAACCCCACCCTATAAAAGAGCATTTGTGGTGCACAGGTGGCTTCATTCTAGGTTATAGGCTGATTCATGTGATGCGTAAACATATAGCCATTAGGCAGAACTTTCACAGGAGAGTGCGGTGATCATGCAATTCTTTTTTCTTCTTTCTTTCTTCCTTCTCTACCCTTAGTTCAGGTGTCCTGGAATAAAATCCAAATACTGCAGAGGTCTATGATATATTGGTTGGTACTATCAGAGAGTAGCACCAGCTGTCAGAAAAGAAAGACAAGGCCAGGTGTGGTGGTGCACCCTTGTAATCCCAGCTACTCAGGAGGTTGAGGCAGGAGGATCACTGGAGCCCAGGAGTTTGAGGCTGCAGTGAGCCATGATGGTGCCACTGCAGTCCAGCCTGGGAGACAGTGAGACTGAAAGCAGGAAGGAAGGGAGGGAGGGAGGAAGGGAGGGAAGCAGGAAGGAAGGGAGGGAGGGAGAGAGTGAGGAAGGGAGGGGGAGGGGGAGGGGAGAAGGGGAGGGAGGAAAAAAGAGAGAAAGAGAAAGGAAGAAGGAAAAGAAGGAAGAAAAGAGAGTGAGAGAAAGAAAGAGAGGAAGGAAGGGAGGGAGGGAGGGAGGGAGGAAGGAAGGAAGGATGGAAGCAAGGAAGGAAGGAAGGCAGGCAGGCAGACAAGCAAGCAAGTGAGCCAGCCCACCCAACCTCCTTCCAAAACGTCATGAGAATCTTGAGCACATATGGCCCTTAGCATGACCACATGACCTGCAGAGCCCCTGTTAGAGAACTCATTTTTGTATTTTCCTTAATATAACAGTTAATATAATAGTGTCATTTGTTAATAGTGTGTCACTTTACTTTTTAAATGTACATTATTGAAATATAGGTACAAAAACGTACATCTATTGTAAGTGTGCAAATTGATGAATTCTAAAATCTTGAGTGCACCTGTTTAGCACCTAGATTGAGACACTGAACATAACTAACAACCAGAAGTCTCCTTGCACACCCTCCTGTTACTACCCCTGCTCCTGACCAATTTACTCTCTTCTAACAGCATAACTGTGTGTGACTAATTTTTTTTAATTTAAAAGAAAGAAATCATACGGCATGTATTCATTTGCATTTGGCTTCTGCCACCCAACATTATATTTGTGAGATTCATTTGTACAGCTGCATATTCATTTGTAGATCCCTCACTCTCGTTTCTGTAGGGAATTATATTGCATAAATATGCAATATGGTATCACATGCATAAATATGGTATTATATTGCATATATGGTATGATATGCATAAATGGTATGCATATGGTATTATGGCATGCTATTATATTGCATGAATATACCATACTTTATCCGTCATACTGTTGAACATTTGTGCAGTTTCCACTTGAGGGCGATTTCAAATAGTGCTGCTACCAATATTCTTGTAAATGTCTTTTGGTGAACACATGCAACACATATATGCATTGTTTTTGGTTCCCAGGAGTGGAATTCCTGGGTCATAAACAATGCATGTGTTCAGGTTTAGTAGAGTATAATGCCAAACAGGTTTCCAAGGTGTTTGTGCCACTTTGCATACGAATCATCATTGTAAAAGTTCTGTTTGCTCCACATTGTCCCCAGTGCTTGACATTTTCTATTTTTTTTCTTTTTAGCCATACTACTGGGTGTTTAGTGGTATAGCAATTAGATTTTAATTTGCATGTTTCTTGTGACAAATTAACCTTAATTTTATTACTATCAGGCATGTGGAAATGTGATTTAAATGCATTTAAAAATACAGTAGTGAAAACAGATACAAGGTCACTTTCATACTTAGAAAATTTACGTAGAATGATTTCTATGTAAGCTTTTACAGTGTAGTCTGAGTCCATAAATGTTGATTACAAAAAACACATCTGTAGGTGAGTTACAATACCTCGCTTATAATTCCACATTCATGTTATATTAGCTCAGTATTTTTCAAATATATTTTTGCAGACAATTTTCACCTTCTTTTTGAGTGGTCTCGGATATTTTGTCTGGATCCAGCACAGCGCGTTAGGCTGCCATTGTTTGGATGCATGCATCCACATATCTGCACCATGATGATATGACACGCCCATACCCCCCACTTTGTGTTTCGTCAGAAGTGCATAGCTATCACTAACAAACTTTGCCAGTAGAAATTTACTCCCAATTTCACATGGACTTATCTTGAATAATCTCACAACTGAAGCATAACAGGTTTTGAATTCTGTTAGAATAGTTGTTTTTACTATCTTTTAATTTTATAAAAATTTCAAGGTTACTTAATACTTTCATTTGAAAAGTGAAACAAAGCTTTTTCTCTCCCTTACCCACAGGATGGCCCAGCAGAGGGGAAAAACATTGGCCCCAGGCCAAAATCATAAAAGCTTTCAATTAACTAATAATAATTGCTGGCATGTTGCCATTTAAATATCCTTGCCTCGTTATCGGGGTTGCTTTATCAAACCCATAGATCACTAAAGCCCACTTTTGAGACAAAAACTATTTCTCCCACAAAAGTCAAGGGAAATATAAAAAATGAAGTTAGTGATTAAGGATATAAGTTAATTAATACAATCATTTTGGCTTAATTATTTAAAGTCCAGTTTTTTTCCTCCAGCAAACCTGAAAATACACTATCCTCCCGCTATCAGAATTATACTGAGATTTATAATTTTTCACTGATGAATTTAGAGCTCTCATATACTCAAAGGAAAGAAATAGAAAAACAAGAATTCTGAAGGTAATCCAAACAAAAATTGTTATGTGCTGACACATATACAACAATTTTCACATACACACATCCGGAACTTTTTTAAAAAGACAGCCTCTTTCATATTAATGTCATTTTTGTTTACAGCTAAGCAATCTTAATAATTCTTTCAGAGACATCATCACCTAATGAGCGATCTTTCTTAATTGTATAATCTTGGATCACCATTTCAAAAACCATTTTACCCATTTTAAGTGTACGATTCAGTGACATCAAGTATATTTGCAATGTTGTACGGCTGTCACCACCATCCATTTCCAGAACTTTTTCACCTTCCTAAACTCAAATGCTGTGCGCCTAGCAACAATAATTTTTCATTACCCACCCTCCCTTACCCGTGGCAACTAGCATTCTATTTCCTGACTGTATGAAAGTGAATTTGACTAACCTATGTACCACATGCCTGTGAAAAAATTTGTCCTTTGGTGTCTGGCTTAATTCACTTGGCATAATGTCTTCAAGGTTCATCTATATTGCAGTATGGGTTAGAATTTCCTTTCCTTTTAAGGCTGAATAATTTTTCATTGTATAAATATACCATGTTTTGTTTATCCATTCATCTATTACTAGACATTTGGGTTGCTTCCATGTTTTGGCTATTATGAATAATGCTGCTATGAACGTGGGTATACAAATATCCGTTCAAGGCTGTGCTTTCACTTCTTTTGGCTATATACCCAGAAATGGAATAGCTGAATTGTGTGGCAATTCCATGGCTAATTTTTTGAGGAACTGCCATACTATTTTTTCTCAACAATGCCACTATTTTACATTCATCTCAGCAATGCACAAGGCAAACATTAAATTTTAAACCCAGCGACTCTGAATAGCTTTTATACAAATCCTGTAACCTTCAAAACCTGCACTTATCTTTCTATTTTTCTGTATCTATCTATCTATCTATCTATCTATCTATCTGTCTGTCTGTCTGTCTGTCTGTCTGTCTGTCTGTCTGTCTGTCTATCCATCCATCCTGTCTACTTATCTCTCCATTTCCAGACATACTTAGAATGAAAACTTTAATTTGCAATTGGTGAAAACACCCTGAATCGGGAGGCGGTTTTGACGGGCATATATCTAATTGGCCCCTCTCTTGCTGTGAGTCTCTTATTCTTCCAAGTACTCATGTATTCTAGAGAAAGTCCCCAAACACAACTGCCCAGAATGGCTCTCTATTTCTAAGTTACCCATTTCTGATAATCTAGGTGGATTCTCCTGTTTTTCTTCCTCCTCGTCTTCTAAGTAAATTTTTTTTTTTAGTCTTTTAGTATTGTTGCCAACACCACATCTAAGAATTTGTCCTCTGGCTTTCCTGGTACTCAGAACTTTTCACACCCTGGGAGGTAAGTTGCTTTCTAAGGATATTCCAGAAAGTGAGGAGCATTTGATCAGGATTTGTTAGTTATAATTGTTGTGGTCAGTCGAAAGACAAGAGGTTTTTAAATACCTTGAATATCAGGGCTGACAGGCTTAGTCATGTTTGGTTTGGAGAACTGACCATTTTGTCACTTGGAGTGAGGAAGAGGAGGTAGAAGAGGTGGGTTAGTGCTGGGGTTCATTCTCATTGGAGGACGTGGCTCTCTACAGTGGGGCACTCATGTTTATTTGAACTGATGCTGATGGAGGAGTCTCCTGTGGGTGCTTCCCTAGCTTCCCCCCTGCCCTTCTGGCAGGTTCCTCTTCCTAATAAGGCTGTGGCAAAAACTGGGAGTTGGAGTCAGAACCGATGCGATGTCCTGTCCTCACTGCCAGCCCCTCCTGAGCCTCCTGCACTGGATCTCCTTCCCCACAGCTTCTCAGTGTTGGAGGGCTCTGGAACCCTGTCCTGAGACCTCTTCTCTGGTCCAGCTAACCTCATTTCCCAGGTGAGTTCTACCGGTCCCATGCATTAAACAAATCTGTAGGCTAATAACTCCCAAATTTAAGTCTCCTGTCTTTTTTTCCGGCTCTAAATTTGTTGATCCAACTGCCTACACACTATCCCAAATCAGATGCCTGAGAAGAATGGTAGAGTCAATGTATCTAAAATCAAGCTTTTGATTTTTTCTACCTAAGTAAATCTTCATCTTTTCTCCTCTTTCCAGCTCAGTAAATGGCTCCACCATTTATCTAGTAGCTCAGGCCAAAATTCTTATTGTCACCTTGGACTCCTTTTTTTAAAAATTTTTTTCTTTTTATTATTATTATTATTTTATTATTATTTTTCTCTCTTTAAGTCTGTTATTGGTGTGTAGGAATGTGGACTCCTTTTTTTTTTTTAAACTGCTATGTCTAATTCAATCTGTGAGTCCTGTCACTTTTACCTTCAAAATACACCCTACAGCCTCTACCATTTCTCACCTCCTTCACTGCTAACAACCTTCCCATGTCACTATCAGATCTTTCCTGGATTCTTGCCCTGGTCCCATCAGTGTTTGCAGGGCTTCCTCACTGGGCCCTCTGAGTCTCATCTCCACACGGGTTCCAGGATTTGAGAATATTAATCCAATCAAATCACCCCTATTCTCATCCCTCTAAGGACTTCTCATTTTATTCCCAGAAAAAATACGTGAAGTCTTGTCATGACCTGTGGATCTGTTTCTGGCGGCCACTGCTGTCTCAGCTCCTAATGTCCCTTGTCCCTGTCCCTCTACTGTATCCACACTGGACCTCTGGACGTTCCTCACACACACCCCGCATTCCCACCCCACATTGCTGAAATGTGCTTTCCCCTAAGCCTGGAACACTCTTCTCACAGTTTTCGCGTGCCTCATTCCCTCACTTTATTTGGTGCTCCGCTCATATGCCACTCTTTCTGAGAGGTCGTCTCTCACTCCTTGTGTCAAATCTCACCCTCTTGACAATATAGTAGGTTGTATCAAATGAAAAAAATTGCCATTTAAGGCAGGGCACAGTGGCTCACATCTGTAATCCCAACAATTTTGGAGGCCGAGGCAGGTGGATCACCTGAGGTCAGGAGTTTGAGACCAGCCTGACCAATATTGTAAAACCCCATCTCTACTAAAAATACAAAGATTAGCGGGGCATGGTGGCAGGCACCTATAATCCCAGCAACTTGGGAGGCTGAGGCAGAAGAATTGTTTGAACCCAGGAAATGGAGGTAGCAGTGAGTTGTGATCACACCATTGCACTACAGCCTGGGTGATGAGTGAAACTCCATCTCAAAAAAAAAAAAAAAAAGGTAAAAAGAAATTGGCATTTGAAAAAAAATAGAGATGAGGTCTCCCTATGTTGCCCAGGCTGGTCTTGAACTCCTGGGCTCAAGCAATCCTCCCACCTCAGTCTCCTGAAGTGCTGAGATTACAGGCATGAGCTATGGCGCCCAGCCTGAAATTGCCAAGCACCTTGAAGGCAGCAACTTGGGTTGTTCACGTCTAGAGTTCCTGGAACAAAGAGGCATTCACAGGTTATCTGCTGTAAATGTCTTCCATGTATTGTCCAGCCCTTTGACAAATTAAGCTCATTAAATTGCTCTCTGCTAGTCACACTGGTATTTTTGAAGCCAAACTCTTTTACTTCTTATCAAGGTTGATACTCTTGTATCCTCAGGATTTCATTTTGGGGATCCTCCCATTCATCCTTCTCATTCTGTTTTCTCTTTCAGATTGTTTGATTATGGGATCAAGCTGCAATTTCCTCTGACCTTCTTGAGAACTGTGTACCCATTTAGAACCCACATTAGAGCTTTTCCAGAATGGTTTTCCTTGGGCATTTTAATCCCCCTCTGAAAGACACCCCGACTCACTGGCTGCAGAGGCTCCAGTACTTCTGCTTCAATAGCCGGTTCTTCCTGGTAGGTCAGAATTAAATCCAGGAGAGAAGTTCCTTTTGTTTCTTCCTCTTCCTTCTGCAAAATAAAATTATTAGTAAGAAAAGATTAAAAATGCATGTTCTGCTTTTAGAGAAATTCGATTTCCAGCAGAAATGCAGAGAGCTAAGTTCCCATTACATCTATGACTTGCAAATGTGTCAATTTTGTGATTTTTGAAAATGTGCGCCCCATGTTTATTCCAGTGCCAGGACATGGAATCAACTCAAGTATTCATCAACAGATGAATGGATAAAAGAGAATGTGGTATATATACAAAACGGAATGCTATTCAGCCATAAAAAAAGAATGGAATCCTGTCATTCATAAAAACATGGATGGAACTGGAGGACATTATGTTAAGTGAAATAAGCCAGGCATAGAAAGTTTAATACCTCATGTTCTTACTCTTATGTAGACATTTTAAAAAGTTTACTCAGTTATAAAAAGCAGAACAGAGGTTACTAGAGGCTGGGAGGGGTAGGGGAAAGGTAAGGATAGGGAGAGATTTGTTAAAGGACACGAGATTACAGCTAGATAGAAGGAACAAATTATAGTGTTTTATAGCATCGCAAGATGACTATAGTTAACAATATATTATATACTTTTCTTTTTTGAAATGGAGTCTTGTGCTGTTGCACAGGCTGGAGTGCAGTGGTGCGATCTTGGCTCACTGCAACCTCTGCCACCCGGGTTCAAGCAATTCTCCTGCCTCAGCCTCCAGAGTAGCTGAGATTACATGTGCATGCTACCATGCCTGTTTAATTATTGTATTTTTAGTAGAAATGAGGTTTCAGCATCTTGGCCGGGCTGGTCTTGAACTCCTGACCTCTTGATCCACCCACCTTGCCCTCCGAAAGTGCTGAGATTACAGGTGTGAAACGCTGTGCCCTGCTATATATTTTCAAATAGCTAGAAGAGAGGGTATTGAATGTTCCCAAGAGAAAGAAATGATAAATGTTTGAGATGATGGATATGTCTTGATCTGATCACTACACATTGTATGTATCAGAACATCAGTATGTACCCATAAATAGTATAATTATGTATCAATTAAAAATAATTTTTAAAAAATCAGTATTACACCATCAGAGTTTTAAAAACAGTAAAAAAATTGTCCATAATTTCCCTTTCACCGTAGCCCAATTTCTGTCATTTTTGTATTTTTTACATAAATGCATAATTTTGCAGTTGAATATAGTATAGTATACAACTTTGTATCTTGTTTTCTTCACTTATCACAAGGTTTTCTTCATGTTGCCACATGGGATCCTAATTACACAGCGGCTGCAGAATAATCTGTTAAGTGGTTGGACCCTAATTTGATAAACTAGTCCTCTAAAATTATTGTTTCTAGTTTTTGATCACTATAGCACTCCTTTATGCATTTGGCTTTTTTTCTGACTTTGGGTTATTTTATCAGGATCAAGTCCCAGACCTGAGATTCTTTCTTTTTCTTTTCTTTTGGACAGAGTCTTGCTCTATCACCCAGGCTGGAGTTCAGTGGCACTATCTCAGCTCACTGCAACCTCCACCGCCTGGGTTCAAGTGATTCTCCTGCCTCAGCCTCTGGAGTAACTGGTACTACAGGCACATGCCACTCCACCCAGCTAATTTTTTTTTTGCATTTTTAATAGAGAGGGGGTTTCACCATGTTGGCCAGGCTGATCTCAATCTCTTGACCTCGTGATCCACTCACCTCGGCCTCCCAAAGTGCTGGGATTACAGACATGAGCCACCACGCCTGGCCCAGACCTGAGATTATTGAGCTCAAGGGTAGAAGCATAGAGCAGACAGGGCTCCTAACACTGGGTGCGCGCTGCTTCCCACAGATTGAACCCTATGACTACTGCAGCAGTATTCACAATAGCCAAGATACAGAATCAACCACGGAATCCATCAACAGATGAATGGGTAAGACAATGTGGTGCATAGATACGATGGGGTACTCTTCAGCAATAACAAAGATTGAAGCTCTGTCATTAGTGGCAACACAGGTGGAGATGGAGGACTCTGTGTTCAGTGGAATAACACCATGATGGTGACCACAAGTGAACCCAGCCTCATTCTCTTCACGGCTCCTTCCTTGACATGCTGGCTTCAGCTGCCTCATTTCTGTTCTCAGCAGTTCACAGGGTAGTCCAGGTGAGCAGTTTTTGACTCTGTCCTATCCTGAAGTGACCACAGGGACAGTGCCTGGCATCTGCCATGAACCACTGAGGGGCAATGAAGCAGCAGTCAGGGCAGAGGTAGAAATGCACATCCATGAGGGCCATGGCCCACAGGAGCCCGGCCGCTGGGGCACCTCTTGGCAGGTGAGGTTTCTCCTGCTGTCCTGGGGCTTCTGTTCCACGTTGATGTCCTCTGTAATTTTCTTCCAGGTACATCTTCTCCCAGCTCAGGTCTCCACCCAGGTACCAGGTCATCTATTCTCTGGTTGGCTCCCAGGGACTGGCATGGAAGCATCCTGGGATTCTGCAACAGTTTCCCATGCAGACTCCCACTTCCTCCTCTTTTCCAATCCACTCTCCACACAGCAAACAGAATTGTTCTTCTGCTGCCCCGCAGCCCATAACCATGCCAGTCCTGCACCCACCTGCTGCTCCACACCTGCATGCACTCTCTGTGATCTTTTTAGGAATATGTTCATCAGAGCTCCATCTTCCTTGGCTGATTGCTATTATACTTACTTATGTCATGTTAGTTCTTTCCAAGCCATTTGAGAGGATAGACTGTTCAGTCACCAACATGACAATGCTTAGGGTTTTCCCCAAGGAGTGCACACAAAGAACATAGCTCGATTTCCTAATTATACTTGATTTAAAGTGTTATTTGAGTGCCAGGCTGCAAATGGGAGAGGGGTAAGAATTAAGGGCCTGGATTTGTAGTCAGACATACCCATTTTTTAATCCTCTTGCTCCTGTATTAGAAAAACAGAAATCAAGCCAGTAACTTCACAGAAAAGAACTTAATAGAGGGACTTGGTTAAACTGTATCAAAAACAAAAATGGGACAGTGGGCCACCAGAGAGATTTTAACTCCAGGAAGCAGCTACTGCCACTAGGGCCAGGGGAACAAAGAGAAGAGGATGAAGTTACTAGAACTTAGAGGCTTGGAGTAGAAACGCTTCGGAGCTGGGACCTGGATTTCTCGGCAGGAGGTGCTGGTGGACTGGTGCTAGTATTTCTGAAGAGTTCATTCTGGAAGTGTAGAAAATGACTGCTGATTGGCTAAAGAAAATGTGGTACATATACATCATGGAATACGAGGCAGTCTTAAAAAATAATGAGATCACGTCTTTTGCAGGAACATGGATGGAGATGGGGGCCATTATCCTTAGGAAACCAAGGCAGTAATAGAAAACCAAATACCACATCTTCTCCCTTATAAGCGGGAGCTAAATGATGAGTACTTACGGACACAATGAAGGAAGAACAGATGCTGGGGCTTACTTGAGGGTGGAAGGTGGGAGGATGGAGAAGGGCAGATAAAGGAACTATTGTGTACTTGGCTTAGTACCTGAGTAATGAAATAATCCGTACAGCAAGCCCTGTGACACAAGTGTGCTGCTCCATATAACAAACCTGCACATGTACCCTTGAACATAAACGTTTAAAAAGAAAGAAAGAAAACGGCTGCTGCTGAGGTGAAAAGCCATTATTGAGATGATGCAGACAGAAACAGGAGACAGGTAGGAGGAGTGAGTCTCCTCTCCCTCATCCAGCCTCAGTGTCCTGGCATGTCAACAAAACACCAGCCGGCTGACCACGCAGAAATGTAGTTTGCAGAATCCTCACCACGGCATCGCAAAGCAGAGTATAAAAGGGTGGCTTTGAAACAGAAAGAAAATAGCTTAACAACCAGTACAATGACTTTAGGTAGATTACATAGCCTCCCTAAGCTTCAATTCCTATACCTGTATGACGGGAGAAGTACCTCCTCTCAAGGTTATTGTAAGGATTAAGTGAGATAATAGATATAGGCTGCTCAGTAAGGACACTGAAAGTAGCTGCAGATCTATCCCTGATACCCCATCTTTAGCCTCAACATGGCAGCCAGAGGAGGACAAGGATAGGGAAAAAGATGGAAAGTGGAGAGAAGAAAGAAGATGAAAGCAAGTAGAAGGAGGGAAGGATGGAAAGAATGCAAGAGGTACTTGGGACCACCATCAGAGAGAAGGGCAAAAGCCCTGTGGACCGGTCCCTTGTCTCTTTGGGAAGGCTTTTCCCACTTTGAACAAATTACATGCTCCAGGTGCCTTCAGTGACTCCCAGGGGTGGTTGTGATTTCTGCAAAATCAAGAGAACTAATAAGAGTAGCTAGAGGTATGTGATCATTTTCTAAAAAGTTGAAGGCTCAGTGGTTTGGCAAAAGAGGACAGCAGGAGGTCTTAATGAGTTAGACCACAAATTAATCTTGCCTTCTTTCCTTTAACTGTTTCTTTCCCCTGTGTCTTTGGCTGATTCTAGCAGCGGTTCAACTGTGTAATTAAGTCTCTTCTAAGAGAGCTGTGAAGCTGGGTCAGTACTGTATGTTCTCGTGATCATTGGCTATCAAGTTAAAGGTTGAATTGATATTTCGAGCAGTTATCAAACTTACCCTGCCCCATTTTCATGGAAACTGGCAACTGGAAATGCTACCAGTATTCAGAACCCTACTGCGATCAACAATTCCAAGGAGGGATAAAATCCAGAGCTAGCCTGATGCCTCCAGCAATATTTCTCCAGCTCTTGAGTTGGTGCAAAGGTAATTGCGGTTTTGGGTCGTGAAATTTAAATCACTGTAACTAGACTCAAACAAATCTTTATTAATCAAAATAGAAACCATTATAATCAACACGTTTGCTAATGAGAAATCAGCTTGTTTATGTCTGTAGCATTAGCATTAAAATGTATGCTTTGGGATTAGACAATCTCTCAGAAAGCATTTTCTGCATCCTGCTGGTTGTGGAAGCGTTTTCTCTGCAAAACGTTGTCAAGATGCTTGAAGAATTGGTGGCTGGTTGGCAAAGAGGTCAGGTGAATACAGTGCATGAGGCAAAACTGCACAGCGCAATTCTTTCAACCTTTGAAGCGTTCGTTCTATGATGTGCAGTCGGGCGTTGTCATGGAAAAGAATTGGGCCCTTTCTGTTCACCAACGCCGGCTGCAGGCATTGCAGGTTTTGGTGGATCTCATCAATTTACTTTTTTTTTCCAGAAAGCTGTAGTGGATCAGACTGGCAGCAGACCACCAGTCAGTGACCAAGACCTTTTTGCGATGCAGGTTTGGCTTTGGGAAATGCTTTGGAGCTTCTTCTCAGTCCAACCACTGAGGTAGTCATCGCCGGCTGTCACATAAAATCCATTTTTCATTGCATGTCAAAAATCCAGTGAACAAATGGTTTGTTGTTGTGACTAAGAGAAGATGATACTCAAAAATGATGATTTTTAAGAAAATTTTGCTCAGCTTATGGGGCACGCACTTACTGAACTTTTTCACCTTTGTAATTTGCTTCGAATGCTGAGTGACCATAGAATGGTCATTGTGATCTTCGGCAACTTCTCATGTAGTTGTAAGAGGATCAGCTTTGATGGCTGTTCTCAATTGGTCACTGTTAGCTTCCAATGGCCAGCCGCTATGCTGTCATCTTCAAAGCCCTCCTCTCGTTTGCAGAACTTCCTAAAGCACCACGGCACTGTCTATTCGTTAGCAGTTCCTGGGCCAAATGTGTTGTTGATGCTGCAAGTTGTCTCTGCTGCTTTATAACCCATTTTGAACTTGAAGAAGATAATTGCTCAAATTTGATGTTTGTCTAACAGTATTTCCATAGTCTAAGATAAATATATAATAAACAGCAACTAATAAGTCATTAGGAAAAAACACAATGCAAGAAATGCACATTGAAATGATGTATAACATAACCACATTTATTTTAAGGATGTATTCCAATATCAAATGGCAAATTTCAACAGTGCAAAAACCACAATTACATTTGCACCAGCTGAATAGCTAGAAAAGAGAAAACCAGGATAAAATATAGTCTAAGAAACTGAAAATGTACTGTTCACTCTATTCCACCTGGACAGGAAGAATCCTCACATCCCACTTGGAGGTGTGCCCCTTTGCCTTTATCCTTATTTCCTTCCTGGAGACTGTATGTAAGTTCCTTACAATGAAAAAGAGTCACTTTCTAAAAGTGTAAATTGAAATGTGCTGCCTACATAAACTTATCAAATTAGTTCTCCTGGTGGAAAAAAATCTTAATTAAAAGGCCGCTTTGAAATAAGGAAATGTAATAAAACCTTTTCATTTTGTTTGCCTTCACACCAGCCACATTCACTTTTATGATCTAATTTTTATTTTTCTTATTGGATGACATTAGATTTGTCTTCCCAGCAGGTTCATTTTCAAAAAGTTAATGAAGTCAAGCTAAGCATATGTGGTAGATCATTAGGTCTTCTGCTTACAACCACCAATATCCCATAGTCTTGGATTCCACTTTCTCTTTCAGGACACAATGGGATTTTTCAGAAAAACAAATTCCTCTTTCTAAATACAGAGGACAAAGCCATGTCCTCTGATTTCATGTATTATGAAATCACTTGGGAACTATCAGAATTATAGAGGAAACAGCACCCTGTCCATCTTCTCCAAATGAGTAAATTTGCCGTGAGATCAGTTTTTTGTGGCTTTACATAATAAAGAATTGAACAAAAGTAAGATTTGAACTATGAGAATCAAAACTTGAGAATTTTTAAATTGGTGTGTAGTAACTTAGTCTTATTAGGGATCAGCATTTTAAGTATTTGTTGAAGTCTGGTAAAACTTAACTTTTTATAAAATCTTTCTTTTTGTTTAAAGGTGAGACCCAACCCTTATTTTCTCAAGTGAGGCTACTTATGGAAAGAATATGGGATCTGGGGTCTAAAGGCCTTGGTTTGTGAGTCTGCTCTTTTGAGCCAAGATGAAGTAACAGGAATGAGATTTAAAATTCCTACCTGAACCAACCACAAAACTCAGGGAAAAATGAAAGAATGTTTTTCAAAACATGGAAAATAGGAAACAGAGAGATGGTAAAAATTGCAGTGAGCCTTACAATATATATAGAGTCAGTGCGATGCTAAGTAAAATCTCAGGAATTTTTAAATACAAATTGACAAGCTGATTTAAAATTTGTATGGAAATGCAAAGGACCAAGAATAGTCAAAACAACTTTGAAAAAGAACAGCAGAGTTGGAGGGCTTCTCTACCTGATTTTGAGAATTCTTATTATAACGCTGTAGTAATCAGTATGGTATTGGCTTAAAAATAAACAAATAGATCAATAGAACAGAATAGATGATAATAATGGAGTTATATATATTTGATCAATTGACAGTCAACAAAGGCACAAAGGAAATTCAGCGGAGAAAGGATAGTTTTTTCAATAAGCGGTGCTGAAAAACATTAGATATTCATTTGCAAAAAAAAAAAGTAAGTAAAATTTAAAAACTCCAATACATATCCCACATCATACAACAAATTCATCAGAATAAATCATAGACCTAAAAGCAAAACCAAAACAACAAAACCTCTAGAAGAGCATATAGGAGAAAATCTTTGTGAACTTGGGTTACTAAGACTTGTTAGATATGGAACTAAAAACGTGATTCCCCCAAATTTTGATAAATTGCACTTCATTAAAATTTAAAACATCCAGTCCTCAAAAGAAACTATTAAGATAATGAAAAGGAAATCTACAGAATAAGAGGAAGTATTTGAAAAATTACATACCTGATAAAATATTTATATATGAATGCACAAGGAATTCACAAAACTCTATAATAAGTCAACAGACAACCCAATTTTTTAAATGGGCAAAAGATTTGAACAGACATTTCACTAAAGAAGATATATGAATGGCTAATAGGCACATGAAAATATGTTCAACATCATTAGTCATTAAGGAAATACAAATTAAAATCACAGTGAGATGTTACTACCTACTACAGTGCCTAAAAAGAAGACGAACCACACCAAGTGTTGGCAAGGATGTGGAGAAACTGAAAAACTCATACATGCTGGTACAACCACTTGGGGAAACAGTTTAGCTGTTTGTGAAAAATCTAAACATACAGTAATTACTGATCAAATAATGCAGACATTTCATTTTTAGACTTTTACCCCAAAGAAATGAAAACTTAGGTCTGCTGCAAATATTTTCACATCAATTTTTATAGAAACTTTATTCATTATTGCCCCAAAGTAGAAATAATCTAAATGTCTATCATTAAGAGAATGAATAGTGACATACCCATATAAAGCCATATTCCCTAATGAAATGAACATACAAAGCAACATAAATGAATCTCGCAATAATTATGCTAAATAAACAAAGCCAGATAAAAAGGGATATACACTGTATAATTCCATTTATATAAAATTTGTATAAAATGAAAACTATAGTGACAGCAGATCAATGGCTGCCCAGGGATGGCAGCATGGGAGTGGAGACTGGGGAATTCCAAAGGGGCATGAAGAACGTGATGGGATAAAGGATATGTCCATTATCTTGATTGTGGTGCTGGTCTCATGGGTTTATACTGTCCAACTGATCAAAGATCAAGTTTACTTCTCCGCACCTGAGTTCCCTCAAGAATCAAAAGAGGAGAATAGCATACACCTTGCAAGGTTGCTGTGCCAGGCAAGATCTTGTGGCAACAGCCCTGAAAAAGCACTAAATCAACTCCACAGAGAGCGTCTTGTCATCTCTGTCAAGACTTAACTTTCCGATTGATCTCTCAGCAGAATGGCAATGTTCCCTCTCTCATCTTCAGAAATCAAAGGACATGACTTTTAAAGCTAGAGTCGTTAGATCTCTTAAAGGCCTTTATAAACGTTAGATGGAGAAAAATGAGAACACACAGGAAATTTAAAAGCAACACTGTAAGTATCAGCTTTGTGGAGCACTTGTGAAAATTGGGCTTACTCTACCATCAAGGGACACAATAAATTTAAGCCATCTGGCCTATGTGTAACCCCTGCACACACACACATGAATATAGGTATCATATCCATGGTACACAATTATGAACGGAAAATACATTTTAAAAAATAAACTGCAGCCAGGTGCAGTGGCTCACATCTGTAATCCCAGCACTTTGATAGGCCGAGGAGGGCGGATCCTGAGGTCAGGAGTTCAAGACCAGCCTGGCCAACATAGTGAAACTTTGTCGCTACTAAAAATACAAAAATTAGCCATGCCTGGTGGCGTGTGCTTGCAGTCCCAGCTACTCAGGAGGCTGAGGCAGAAGAATCGGTTGAACCTGGGAAGTGGAGGTTGCAGTGAGTTGAGACTGCACCACTGCACTCCAGCCTGGGCAACAGAGTGAGACTTTGTCTCAAAAAGTAATATAATAATAATAAATAAATAAACTGCATATGCTTTAGAGTCAGACCTTGAATCAGATCCTGACTCATTCACTGGTTCCGTGACACCTTGGACAGCTCCCTCAGCCCTGCTGAGGCTCAGTTTCCTCACTTGTAAAACACTATCCTGGAGTAAGAAGGTGGAAAAACAAAGTAACCCGTGTAAAATACGTAGGACAGTACCTGGCACAGGATGCTGCTCAGCAAAACAGCTTCCCTAAGGTAACACACTAGATTGTGGTCACACCTAAATTCAAACTTCCTGGTCCCAGGTCAATAATTTTTCTATTATCCTTTATTGCTGGTTTACCTGAGTAGTCTGCTGCAGAGGGGCAATTGGAAACCAGCTGTCTCAGCTCTCACTCTGGCGTTGTTGCCACTGCACAAGGTCATTTTTTAAACATCACCAGTAACGAGTATTTATTAATTGGGCGGGGTGGTGGGGTCGGGGAACGGGACCTAGGGATAAAATCACACTGGTTGAGGGACCAGGAAAAATCCCTTTGGACCCTACTCTGATGCTACTGATTACTACCAAGTCAGTCCCCAGTGTGACACCTGTCTCTCCACTGGTCATTCCCTGTTTGCTATTGCCCCTGCAGAAGAATCCTTTCCAGAGCTTTCTGTCTGGAAACCCCGGCACTGGACTTGGCGGGATGTTGGGAGTACATAATTGTTGTTGTGACGGCCCTCAACCACAAGATGGCAGCACACGACTCTCTTCTTTCCGAAGAGAAACCTGCAACGGGAATTTTGCAACCTGGAACGTTTCGAGTAATATGAAAATGTATTTATTTTTAAAAGTTGCCTCTGTCACCCTTCAAATGGTAAGCATAAACCAAAGAGCACAAAAGGAGGCTCTGCTAAGGCATGAGGATGAGGGATGAAGGGAAGGCTGGAGTAGACAGACCCTGCAGAGATGCTTGGCCGCTGCAGGATGTGCCTTCTTGGTGTCTGCACTAGGCCTTGTTGCTGTCCTCTTTGTTCACATTCTTCCCAGAGCTCCTAACTCCAAAATGAACTAAGCTAGGGGTCTCTGCCCTCGATCGAGTCTATCTGAGCCTTGACTAGACTTTAAAATTCTGAATTCCTCTATTTCCATAAAGATGTGAGTGTATTCCTCATTTATTTTCCCATAATATCAAGGGCATGGGGTTTTTCTTTTTTGTTTTACTTTTCTCTGCATGTTCTCTGCTGCTGCACATCCACTTTGGACATCATTTGTTGTTGTGGTTATGGCGGTATCAGGAGATGGAGTGGATTTTAATCTCCATCTCACCTCAGACACACCAAGGCCTGAACTAAAGCAGTCCTGGCTACCCTCAGTTTCTCGGCCCCAGGTAGCCCTCTGCTGATGGGTTTCTCACCAAGTTCTTCCTTCTCACCTGAACTCTAAACACCTGTGAAGGGCAGAGCGCAGCACCTAAAGCATTTTAAACTCCATCGTGGGAGCTCATGAATCTTTCTTTCTAGATGGAGTCTCGCTCTGTCCCCCAGGTTGGAGTGCAGTGACATCATCTTGTCTCATTGCAACCTCCGCCCCAGGTTCAAACAATTCTCCTTCCTCAGCCTCCTGAGTAGCTGGGATTGCAGGCACCCACCACATCTGGCTAATTTTTTTGAATTTTTTTTTTTTTTTTAGTAGAGACGGGGTTTCACCATGTTGGCCAGGCTGGTTTTGAACTCCTGACTTAAGGTGATCTGCCCACCTCAGCCTCCCAAAGTGCTGGGATTACAGGCGTGCATCACCAAACCTGGCTGGTTTTTGTATTTTTAGTAGAGATGGGGTTTCACCATGTTGGCCAGGCTGGTTTCAAACTCCTAACCTCAGGGGATCCGCCAGCCTCAGCCTCCCAAATGCTGGGATTTCATAAACCTCATGTTGCAAGCAAGAGAATATTGTGATTACCTAAAGTAACTA